TAGAGCATCTTTTAAATACCTTAAGCTTATTTTGCGTTTTGTTGTTTGGTAAACAGAGTGCTGAGATTCCTGCCTTTATACACTGAACTTCCGCATTTAAATATTAAACAATTACACAAAAAATATAAATGTAAATACCATAATATAATAGCAATACTAATAAGCAGTCAATAAAATCATATTATTAATATGTAATAAGATAAAAATAATAAGAAAAATTAAAGACCCCTTCAACGCAGATAATTCAACAATAAATACTTTTATGACAGTGTTCTTGATTGCCAAATATATGCTGTAGTCCATTTAAAATACCCTTTTTAAGGCTTTCAATTTTTTTAAGTAAAAGAGTAGGTTTATTTTTGCGAAATTTGATAGCACTTATAACAGCTGTTCTAAATTTCAGAATACTATTTTTGCGAATATTATTAAGAATGATATCTGCCTTCGTTGTTTTAACTATTTCTCTAATTTTAGAACAATAATTACGAAGTATGTAATTTTTGTTTCCAATTTTTTCTATAAAATAACGTGCACTAGTTTCTAGAATCTTTCTTTACGTTTTAGATTTTAAGCTGGCATTATTTTGTAAAACTGTTCTTTATTTTTACCTGAAAACCCAAAGGATTGATGACATTAGTAACTAAATACTCGTAATCCAATGAGTTCAGGGGATGCCTAATATTCTACAATGACTTCTGCGAAAGCATAGGTAAACAACAAATTTATTATTGTTACAATATTTCGTAGAGGTGTATTTGTCTAAGTGATAATACTAACTAGTCACGAATTTCACTAACTTTGTAAAATTTTTTGTGATAATGTCAAAACTTCATATTGAACAACGTTGGGTTTATATAAAATAAGCGATGCAATGTAATAAATTGTTGTACGATGATAAATAAAATCGATCAAAAAAAGTAACAAACACTCGCATTGGGCCTAAAGTAGTGACGATAATTAGTGTAATTTTAAAAATTTTTCTTTTTCTACAGTCACAAATTTTTAATATGTGGCTGTTAAATGATGCATGCAAAGTTGTTTTCTAATTCTACGAGGAAGATACGATGAAGTCTGTACCTACTCATCAGTTGTTGTTACTGTAAAGCGATAAATCATATAGGTAATCCCCTAATGAGTTCTGGGAAATACACAGCAGGGTTAGTTGGGTAGTTAGGTATAGTGGTCCAACTCTGACTTCGTTTTTATGGCACTAGAACCTCAATTACCGCAAGTATTATGAACTCTATTGAAAATGTAAATAGTCGTGCCATAAATCATCTTAAAGGTTTACGGCGCATACGGCCCTGTGTAGTGCAGACAGTTGGTCCCTTGATAGTTTATGACCGCTGGATTACTTGCGGCAGCGGCCTATTGTGGAACACTTAACTCCTTCACAATAGGATGCAGTCATAGAAACGAACCAGCGTTTACAGCACTATACTATACTATCCTCAAACATATTTGGCGTTTATGACTTCACACCAATTTGACTCCCATTATAATTCAATAGGCCGGATGTCTTAAACCCGCTCACCGATACCTACCTGAAAAGACCTTTTCTGGTAAAAGCACAGGGCAGGACTGAGTTTTGCATTTACCGACAACTGCGCCTTTCGAGTTTTTTATTTTAAGTAAAAACAAAGTAACTTTGTACTCAATCATTTTTTATTACAGCACAACTATTTACTTATTAACTACTACTGCTTATTTATTGATCGAAATAGTCACTGTCATCATCACTCGACTCTTCTAAATTAATAATTAACGGTGTTATCAACCGTGCCCTGTACTGGTCTTCTTCTTTTGTGGAATGTCGTACACAATTGGCCCACATTTCGGCAGTTATTTTGGAAGCTTCTTCCCTAATTATGTCAATTGTTGCCCTACTAAATTTTGGTGCCGTATTATTCCTTCTTATACTATTTTTCATTTGCGACCAGATTAGTTCGATGGGGTTAAATATACAATGGTACGGCGGAAGTCTAATCACCCTAAATCCACGATCTCGCGCCATAGCATTTATTTTTTATTGTTTCTCAAATTTTCGAGTGTGTAACACTTCTAATAATTGTGTCTGTGTAATTTTCTTCAAAGTATAAATCATGTTCTGTAAGGAAATTTTGAATTTCTTCTTTCTTAGAACTTGTGTTGGGTATTTTTTTCAATTGCACTGAATGATAACTTGCGTTATCTAACACAATCGCACTGTTTGGGGGTAAGTTAGGAAGCAACTGTTTATCAAACCATGTTTCAAACATTTCAGCCGTCATATTATCGTGATAATCGAGTGTCGCATCTTTGACATTTTTTGCTGATAAAAGCAAAGCGTTGTCCACAAAACCACGGTTGGAGCCAGCATGCAAAACTCAGTCCTACCCTGTGCTTTTACCAGAAAAGGTCTTTTCAGGTAGGTATCGGTGAGCGGGTTTAAGACATCCGGTTGTGACGGCCTATTGAATTATAATGGGAGTCAAATTGGTGTGAAGTCATAAACGCCAAATATGTTTGAGGATAGTATACCAGTAGCATATCTCTTATAACAGAAATTTCTTTGGGGGTGTGGTGAAACCTTAATCCTCACCGTGACAAACACCACCTGCACGTCCCTCAGCACCCCCACTTCTCTTCTACAAACCCTTTAAATACCACAAAAACTGACCATCGAAGTTATTCTCGATTATTATCTTACACGTTTCACGTCAAGTAATTTTCGTTTGTGTTGTGTAATTGTGTTCAAATTTAGTACCTATAATTTTCCGAAACAATTAGGAGTTCGTCGCCATTCAAGTTTGATGGTTTCTGGTGATTTTTAGGTTAGTATTTATTGCTTTTATTACGCCAAGATTTGGTAACACTGTGGTAGCCTACTTTGAAAACTGCTGGTCTGTGCTGTGTTTACTATTTAGTGTTCCTGGTTTTACAGTTTATCATCGTGTCGAGTACTCTCTCTGTATCTGTTGTGGTTCCCTGGTTGGCTGTTGCTGCATGCGAATTTCCTAAAATGAGTCACCTTGTATATTCTGCTAAAATAGTTCGTCCTTGGTCAAGCTGACTATAAAAATGAAAATTAATTTGTTAAAGACATTTAATTATCATTTGCTGTATCAAAAGCTGCTACATTTTTGAAATTAAATTTATTATTTTGTATGTGATTGCATAGGCAACCAGTTATACGCAGGGTGATTTATAAACTTGAAGTTCCCGCTGTTGTTGCTTTGTCCAGCTGAAAATTGTCATTTATAAACTCCGTTGCCAAGTTGTCTTTAATGTTGAATTTTGTCGTATTTAAAAGGGTTGTAGATGAAAATAAAAGTTTTAAGTTGATTACTACAAAAAATTACCATTTCAGACATGTTTTAAGTTTCTTGTTGTCGTAATTAGTCTACACATATTAAGAAAAACAAAAACAAAATGTAGCCACACCCATCCGCCCTATCTCACTTCCGATGATTTTTTTTATTGGTTGTAAGCCGAGAGGCGGAGCTTCATTGTAAAATCCGTACTTTTCTACAAGTGACCATGAAATATGTTCTTAAGTAATCGCGTTATATGTACAAAGAAAACTAAATGTATTAATTAAGAAAGGAAACCAAAAGAGAAGCCCCACCCATTGGTCTCGATCTTAATCGTGATGAATTTTTCATTCGTTGTCACACCGAGGGGCGGAGCGTAATTGCAAAATCGATATTTCCCTATACAAATTTACCATTTCAAACATGTTTTAAGTTTTTTGTTGTGAAAACTGTGTACAAGTTTTAAGTGGTGTGCCGCAGGGATCCGTTCTTGGGCCGCTACTGTTCATAGTTTATACAGCCGATTTGAAATTTAGGTTGAGGTCCTCATTTGCCATGTACGCAGATGATGTTAAATTGTATAACTTAAGTAATAGCTGGATGGCATTGACTCAAGACCTTCTGGAAGTGTGCAAATGGAGCTCGGAATGGTTACTTCCACTTAATATTGCAAAATGTAGAGTTCTTTACATTGGGAACGCCAATCCCCAACATACCTATTTGATAGACGGTGTAGATATGTGTAAATCTGATTCTCACGTCGACTTAGGGGTACTTGTCACGTCCACTCTTTCTTGGTCTGAACATGTCTTGAGTACTATTAGAAAGGCGAACAAAATGGTGTATTTGTTGGGGAGAGCATTTGCGAGAAGTCATATATCTGTCATTAGCAAGCTCTATAAGAGTTATGTCAGGCCAGTTCTTGAGTTTGCCAATTACATCTGGTCTCCGATTCTTCAACGGGATATAGAGCTATTAGAATCTGTGCAAAGAAGGGCCACAAGAATTCCATTTGGTAGAATTCGGCCGCAGTATGCTGACAGACTTGTAATGATGGGTCTTCCAACGCTTTCCAATCGGCGTAAGAGAGGTGACCTAATTTTAACTTTTCGGGCGCTTAAAGATCCGCAATCACCCATCAGGCATTTGTTTCCCCTGAATACACTTAGTAGAACTAGAGGGCATTGTTTTAAACTAGTGAAGGATAAATTCCGCTCCACAGTGAGGCAACATTTTATTTCCAATGGAGTTTTCGAGACGTGGAACGCCTTACCAGCCAGTATTGTTGAAGCTGATACAGTGACAAATTTCAAAATTAAATTTGATAATTATAATGGATAAAATTAATTGGATTCGTTTGTTAGTTAGGTAGTTAGGTAGCGCGGGCATAACAGGCTAGGCCTCTGCCCGAACGCAAAACTAATAATAATAATAATAATAATAAAAGGTGACTACACATTAAAAAAAAAGGCAAAATGTATCACCATGAGGTGACAAGAAATTGAGAAAATTTTGATATATGACAAGACACCTTTATGTGTCGATAATTTTAAAATCCTAAAAAATGTCATTAAGTGCATAATTTTGTCTAATTACTTTTTTTTCTATTAATTATCCACTTGACAGTTTTGACCTTGACAATTTCAACCCTGTCACGCGCCAACTTAGCCGCTCGTTCAAATTCAACACCCCAATTAAGCATTCAACCACATAAAAAAATATTTATTCCTTCCAATTAATTACAATAAAAGAAACACTTTATCAGTTCATTCACCTCCCGACTTCCTGGAAAATGTAGGTGGCGATAATATGAAAATTCGTCACTTCTTATCAACGTTGTAGAAGAACTGGTCTTCGGATGGCTGTTGCTCGGCCATTTTTTCCCAAAAGCACTGCGTGAAAATAAAGGCGCGCTCACACCTGTCGATCGACTCGGTCGCCGTACACTGGTACAAAATAAACTCCAAACTGGCGATCTCCACGTCGGACTCCTCCAGAGTCTGCTTGATGTCGTGCAGCAAGAACCCGCCGTCCACGTCCATCCAGCCGTACTTGGTGAACAGGCAGTGCAGGAAGCACTTGAAGGCGCTCGATTCGCCCCGGGCCAGCTTCTTGTTGATGAGGACTTCGTTCATGGTCCCTAAACTCACCCGTCAGACCGCCTAGTTACCGCAAAAAAGGACTTACTCATGCTGATGGGGACCGTGCGGTTGCAGGTTTTGATGAAGCTGAGGTCTGTGTCCAGGTCTTCGGTGGTGATGGTCCTGGAGAGAGCTAGAGGGGAGAGGACGGCGAGAGCCAGAAGAACCGAAAGTGAAGAAGACATGTTGTCTGTCGGGAGAGAGGAAGAGAACTGAGGAGATATCGTGGAGAGTGTGATAAGATTTATTTTGTTGCAAATTTTTTTAATTAACAATTTGGAATAAGAACGATAGGAGGCCACCTCCGCCGCTTCCATTTCCTCCAGGGCCGGCGCCGGCGATTGCGTCGGGGTCGTCGCCGGGGGGCTTGTTGGGGCACCCGTACATGGTGTTGATTTTTATTATGTCGCCGCGGCTGAAGCCGTCGCGTTGGCCCATTTTCAAGTTCTTGGAAGAGTCCTGGAATATTTTGGGTTCATTACAATGTATATCGAAATTCACATCAACTACATCGAAATTTCAACCAACTATGAAATTTAGCTGCCACTTATCGAAGTTTATTTCCATAACATCACAAATTCTAATATATTATAGCATTTTTTAGTGAGTTTAGAACAATAATTTCAACTACATCGAATACTGCTCCTGTTGCAAGAAAATTTTGACAACTATTACGATTTTGTCGGTTTTAACATAATGTCGAACTTTTGAGCCACTACGTAGAAATTTGTTCCTACTACAACAAAATCTTGGATAACATAAATAATTTTTAAATTGTGAAAATAACAAAAATTTTCTGGTAAGACTTCGAATTTTGTTTCCGTGACATCGAAAATTCAAACAAATACAATAGTTTTTAGCGAATTTGGACCAAATATTTCAATTACATCGAATATTATTGCTATAAAAAACAATAGTATCGAAATTGTGAATTTCGATAAATAAATATCGAAATTTTGGCGCCATACATAGAAATTTCTATATTATACATCGAATTTTAGAGCAACTAGATACGTCAAAAATTATTTCCATTTATTTCAGTAATAAAAATATGGAAATTTAGTCGTAAAACATCGAAATTTGTTCCCGTGACATAAAAATCCAAATAAATACAGCACTTTTTTAGTGAATTTAGAGCAATCATTTCAACTACATCGAATACTGTTCCTGTTGCAAGAAAATTTTATCAACTATATCAATTTTGTCGGTTTCTAAGAATTCATTTCAAACTTTTTTACAACATTATATCGAAATTTTAACATAATGTAGAACTTTTGACGCATTCCGTCGAAATTTGTTTCTACTACAACAAAATCTTGGATAACATAAATAATTTTTAAATAGTGAAAATAGTAAAAATTTTGTGGTAAGACTTAGAATTTTGTTTCCGTGACTTCGAAAATTCAAACAAATGCACCAGTTTTTAGCGAATTTAGAGCAAATATTTCAATTACATCGAATATTATTGCTTTGAAAAATACTAGTATCGAAATTGTGAATTTCGATAAATAAATATCGAAATTTTGGTGCCATACATCGAAATTTCTATATTATACATCGAACCTTAGAGCAACTAGATACCTCAAAAATTATTTCCTTTACATTTCAGTCATAAAAATATGGAAATTTAGCCGTAATACATCGAAATTTGTTCCCTTGACATCAAAAGTCCAAATAAATACAACACTTTTTTAGTGAATTTAGAGCAATCATTTCAAATACATCGAATACTGTTCCTGTTGCAAGAAAACTTTGACAACTATGTCGATTTTGTCGGTTTCTAAGAATTCATATCAAACTTTTTTTACAACATATATCGAAATTTGAACATAATGTCGAACTTTTGACGCACTACGTAGAAATTTGTTCGTACTACAACAAAATCTTGGAAAACATAAATAATTTTTAAATAGTGAATATAGTAAAAATTTTATGGTAAGACTTCGAATTTTGTTTCCGTGACATCGAAAATTCAAACAAATACAATAGTTTTTAGCGAATTTAGAGCAAATATTTCAATTACATCGAATATTGTTGCTACTGAAAGACAACAGTATCGAAACTGTGAATTTCCATAAATAAATATCGAAATTTTGGTATCATACATCGAAATTTCGACATTATACATCGAACTTTAGAGCAATTACATAAAATTTTTGTCTAAATTACCTCTGAATCATAACAATATGGAAATTTAGTACCAAGACATCGAACTTTGTTCCCGTGATATCAAACGTCCAGGTAAATATATCATTTTTTTAGTGAATTTAGAGCAAACATTTCAACTACATCGAAATTTGTTCCTATTAGAAGAAAATTTTTACAGATATATCGATTTTGTGGATTTCTAAGAATACATTCCAAAATTTTTGACAACATACATCGAAATTTTGACAAAATGTCGAACTTTTGAGGCACCACGTAAAAATTTGTTCCCACTACATCACAATCCTGGATAACGTAAATAATTTTTAAATGACAAAATAGTGAAAATTTTCTTGTAAGAAATCGAATTTTCCTTCCGTGACATCGAAAATTCAAACAAATGCACCAGTTTTTAGTGAATTTACACCAAACATTTCAATTACATCAACTTACGAATTACGTCAAATTTTTGTCTCCATTACTTCTGAGTCACAACAATATGGAAATTTAGTACCAAGACATCGAAGTCTGTTTCCGTGATATCAAAAGACCAAATAAATATATCACTTTTTTAGTGAATTTACAGCAAACATTTCAAGTACATCGAAAACTGTTCCCATTACAAGGAAATTTTAGACAGCTATGTCGATTTTGTGGATTTCTAAGAATACATACCGAAATTTCTGACAACATACATCGAAATTTTGACAAAATGTCGTACTTTTGCAGCACCACGTAAAAATTTGTTCCCACTACATCACAATCCTGGATAACGTAAATAATTTTTAAATGACAAAATAGTGAAAATTTTCTTGTAAGACATCGAATTTTCTTTCCGTGACATCGAAAATTCAAACAAATGCACCAGTTTTTAGTGAATTTACACCAAACATTTCAATTACATCGAATATTATTGCTACTGAAAGACAACAGTATCGAAATTGTGAATTTCGGTAAATAAATATCGAAATTTTGGTATCATACATCGAAATTTTGACATTATACATAGAACTTTAGAGCAATTACGTCACATTTTTGTCTCCATTACTTCTGAATCATAACAATATGGAAATTGAGTACCAAGACATCGAAGCCTGTTCCCGTGATATCAAAAGCCCAAATTAATATATCCCTTTTTTAGTGAATTTAGAGCAAACATTTCAACTACATCGAAAACTCTTCCTATTACAAGAAAATTTTAAACAGCTACATCGATTTTGTGGATTTCGAAGAATACATACCGAAATTTTTGACAACATACATCGAAATTTTGACAAAATGTCGAACTTTTGAGGCACCACGTAAAAATTTGTTCCCACTACATCACAATCCTGGATAACGTAAATAATTTTTAAATGACATAATAGTGAAAATTTTCTTGTAAGACATCGAATTTTCTTTCTGTGACATCGAAAATTCAAACAAATGTACCAGTTTTTAGTGAATTTACACCAAACATTTCAATTACATCGAATATTGTTGCTACTGAAAGACAACAGAACCAAAATTATGAATTTCGATAAATAAATATTGAAATTTTGATATCATACATCGAAATTTCGACATTATACATCGAACTTTAGAGCAATTACGTGAAATTTTTGTCTCCATTACTTCTGAATCATAACAATGTGGAAATTTAGTACCAAGACATCGAAGTCTGTTCCCGTGATATCAAAAGACCAAATAAGTATAACACTTTTTTAGCGAATTTAGAGCAAACATTTCAACTACATCGAAATTTGTTCCTATTAGAAGAAAATTTTATACAGAGATATCGATTTTGTGGATTTCTAAGAATACATACCGAAATTTTTGACAACATACATCGAAATTTTGACAAAATGTCGAACTTTTGAGGCACCACGTAAAAATTCGTTCCCACTACATCACAATCCTGGATAACGTAAATAATTTTTAAATGACAAAATAGTGAAAATTTTCTTGTAAGACATCGAATTTTGTTTCCGTGACATCGAAAATTCAAACAAATGGACCAGTTTTTAGCGAATTGACACCAGACATTTCAATTACATCGAATATTGTTGCTACTGAAAGACAACAGTATCGAAATTGTGAATTTCGATAAATAAATATCGAAATTTTGACATTATACATCGAACTTTAGAGCAATTACCTACGTCAAAATTTTTGTCTCCATTACTTCTGAATCACAACAATTTGAAAGTTTAGTACTCAGACATCGAAGTCTGTTCCCGTGATATCAAAAGACCAAATAAATACACTTATCACCTTTTTGGTGCATTTAGAGCAAACATTTCAACTACATCGAAAACTCTTCCTATTACAAGAAAATTTTAGACAGCTATATCGATTTTGTGGATTTCTAAAAATACATACCGAAATTTTTGACAACATACATCGAAATTTTGACAAAATGTCGAACTTTTGAGGCACCACGTAAAAATTTGTTCCCACTACATCTCAATCCTGGATAAAGTAAATTAATAATTTTTAAATGACAAAATAGTGAAAATTTTCTTGCAAGACATCGAATTTTCCTTCCGTGACATCGAAAATTCAAACAAATGCACCAGTTTTTAGTGAATTTACACCAAACATTTCAATTACATCGAATATTGTTGCTACTGAAAGACAACAGTATCGAAATTGTGAATTTCGATATATTAATATCGAAATTTTGACATCATACATCGAAATTTTGACATCATACCGCCGAACTTTAGAGAAATTACGTCAAATGTTTGACTCCATTACTTCTGAATCACAACAATATGGAAATTTAGTACCAAGACATCGAAGTCTGTTCCCGTGATATCAAAAAACCAAATAAATATATCACTTTTTAGTGAATTTAGAGCAAACATTTCAACTACATCGAAATTTGTTCCTATTAGAAGAAAACTTTATACAGACATATCGATTTTGTGGATTTCTAAGAATACATACCGAAATTTTTGACAACATACATCGAAATTTTGACAAAATGTCGAACTTTTGAGGCACCACGTAAAAATTTGTTCCCACTACATCACAATCCTGGATAACGTGAATTATTTTTAAATGACAAAGTAGTGAAAATTTTCTTGTAAGACATCGAACTTTCTTTCCGTGACATCGAAAATTCAAACAAATGCACCAGTTTTTAGTGAATTTACACCAAACATTTCAATTACATCGAATATTGTTGCTACTGAAAGACAACAGTATCGAAATTGTGAATTTCGATAAATTAATATCGAAATTTTGGCATCATACATCGAAATTTGACATTATACATCGAACTTTAGAGCAATTACGTCGAATTTTTGTCTCCATTACTTCTTAATCATAACGATATGGAAATTTAGTACCAAGACATCGAAGTCTGTTCCCGTGATATCAAAAGACCAAATAAATATATCATTTTTTTAGTGAATTTAGAGCAAACATTCCAACTACATCGAAAACTGTTCCTATTACAAGAAAATTTTAGACAGATATATCGATTTTGTGGATTTCTAAGAGTACATACCGAAATATTTGACAACATACATCGAAATTTTGACAAAATGTCGAACTTTTGAGGCACCACGTAAAAATTTGTTCCCACCACGTCACAATCCTGGATAACTTAAATAATTTTTAAATGACAAAATAGTGAAAATTTTCTTGCAAGACATCGAATTTTCTTTCCGTGACATCGAAAATTCAAACAAATGCACCAGTTTTTAGTGAATTTACACCAAACATTTCAATTACATCGAATATTATTGCTACTGATGACAACAGTATCGAAATCGATAAATAAATATCGAAATTTTGACATCATACATCGAAATTTTGACATTATACATCGAACTTTAAAGCCATTACGTCAAATTTTTGTCTCCATTACTTCTGAATCATAACAATATGGAAATTTAGTACCAAGACATCGAAGCCTGTTCCCGTGATATCAAAAGCCCAAATTAATATATCACTTTTTTAGTGAATTTAGAACGAACATTTCAACTACATCGAAAACTCTTCCTATTACAAGAAAATTTTAGACAGCTATATTGATTTTGTGGATTTCTAAGAATACATACCGAAATTTTTGACAACAAACAACGAAATTTTGACAAAGTGTCGAACTTTTGAGGCACCACGTAAAAATTTGTTCCCACTGCATCACAATCCTGGATAACGCAAATAATTTTTAAATGACAAAATAGTGAAAATTTTCTTGTAAGACATCGAATTTTCTTTCCGTGACATCGAAAATTCAAACAAATGCACCAGTTTTTAGTGAATTTACACCAAACATTTCAATTACATCGAATATTGTTGCTACTGAAAGACAACAATATCGAAATTGTGAATTTCGATAAATAAATTTCGAAATTTTGGTATCATCCATCGAAATTTCGACATTATACATCGAACTTTAGAGCAATTACGTCAAATTTTTGTCTCCATTACTTCTGAATCATAACAATGTTGAAATTTAGTACCAAGACATCGAAGTCTGTTCCCGTGATATCAAAAGACCAAATAAGTATATCACTTTTTTAGCGAATTTAGAGCAAACATTTCAACTACATCGAAATTTGTTCCTGTTAGAAGAAAATTTTATACAGACATATCGATTTTGTGGATTTCTAAGAATACATACCGAAATTTTTGACAACATACGTCGAAATTTTGACAAAATGTCGAACTTTGAGGCACCACGTAAAGACATCGAATTTTCTTTCCGTGTCATCGAAAACTCAAACAAATGCACCAGTTTTTAGTGAATTTACACCAAACATTTCAATTACATCGAATACTGTTGCTACTGAAAGACAACAGCATCGAAATTCTGAATTTCGATAAATAAATATCGAAATTTTGACATTATACATCGAACTTAACAATATGGAAATTTATCACGATAAAGACATAGAAAATTTGTTAGAAAAAATGTACCTACCTTAGGTATGATGGTCGCCTGCCCATTAACGGTGAAAGCAGTGGGCGAGTAATGCATCACAGACCGATAGTCATACTTGACACCATAGCCATCAGTACTACCCTTTTCTGCTTTCTTAAAATTCCCTTCATGCCCTCTCTTGATGTTTTGCCACGCAATAGACACAAAATCGTCCCTTTCCCACCGATTTTGCTCATGGACGAAACCCAAAGCGTGCATCAGCTCATGCATAGGAGTACCAACTTTAGTAGTACAGTATGGACTTTGCAAATTCACTTCTTGTCGCCCTTTTACTTTTCCAACACTCGACCAACACCCTGTATTACCATTAACTATCGCAATGTAATCAGAGTCAGATGATTTGCGTTCCCTGAATCTGCAAAAAAACGAAACTTCCCCTACCACCTGTCACTCTACTAGAACCACCCATCACACTTACTTAATACAAGTGTACTTATGGTAGATTTCCATCGCCTTCTTGATTATTTGCTTATCGTTAGCCGAATAATACGGAGATATTTCATAAGGCACAACCCCATCCTTCCACCTAGTGGCCTTCGAAACCAACCCATTCCGCCCCTTTTCCGGAAACAGAATATCCCCTTCCGCGTACTCCCCCAGTTCTTCCGGATTAAAAGGCGAGTTTTCCGTCCACTCCTCCACTTTCTTCCCAGAACTCTCCTTCGGTGTTCCAAAAATCGCGCTCCCCAAGTACGACAAATCGACGCTTCTGGAATCGATTTCGTTGTCGCTGTCGTCAGCGAAGACGACCGCAAAGAAAACCGAAACTAGTACCACCACTTTCAACATTGTTAGGCTTTGTTGCAGCGAAAAAAATCAAGTTTGCTTTATATACAGCTAGGAGGAAATGGATCGGGGTCGATTCTTGCATAATTTATGATTTTTTGGTCCCAGATAAGTGTTCTTTGGTTAGTAATTGAGGGTTTAAGTTTGAGGAATAATCGATTCGTGGAAACTTTAATAGGTTTTGTTTGTTTTGTTGTTTGGGGGCTATCTAATCGGAAGGAAATGTGGAATTAGTTTGGAGTTATCGGGACAAATAAGGCGCTTCCGGCTACTTTAATTTTCGGTAATTGTGTACAGAGGATTTATAATTCACGTTCATGGTGGCATTATTAAAGTGACGTGAAGGTCACATGATGGTGTGGTTAATATAATTCATATTTTGACGAGGCGGCACAAGATTTTTATTAACTAAATTTTGACAGATTTATTACAAAAAATATTATTATTAAGTGTTAAAAGTACAATCAGGCATTTCAGTAGTCGTCTTCTTCGCTGTCATCCACCCGATAATGTCTTTTTATCTTTTCCTCGTCCTCCACCAGTATCGCCAATTTCTTTATCAGCACTTTCGTTTTTTCGCTCACGAAATTGTCCACTTGGCCTAAAATGTTCACGAATTGGATCATTCTTTCGAAATTTTTGTTGATTTCTTCGGCGTTCTTCAGCTCTTCTTCTTTGGCACGAATTTGCTTATGCAAGCTGTTCAAGTGTTGAGTGTTAATTTTGGTTTTTAGGTGGTTGTTCGTTGTAGAAATCGAAGAATGCACTGTGGTAATGAAAATTATCTACAATGTATATATTTTTTAATTAAGTAGTGGGTGATTTTTTATAAATAATAGGGTACTTACCAAAAACATGGAAATGAAAAATAATGCGAAGTGGTTTGTAGTAGACATTTTCGTGTAATGAAATTGATGAAATTATTAATAAAATGAGGTCATAATTTTGCTTAACTTGACTTGTTTTGTAAGTGTCGAGTCATGAAAAGTGTTCTATGATTTCGTCATGAGGAATTTTCTTTATAGTAGTTAGGTGGTAAAAATTTAAAATTTTGCTTATGCAACCAATAATACGCAAGTTGTCAGTAGGGATTTTAAAGTATTGTCACTAAACGAAATAAAAACGCCCGTAGTGTGTTCTTTTTATTATAATTAATTAAAAATAACAAATAAAATTTTAATATATAAATTAACAATACATCAATCTACAAGCGGTGATACAGGGCGGCCCAGCCGAAAAGCGCCACCTCACGGTCGAAAAGCACACCTCACTGACCTAATACTGCGAGTTTTGAGTGATCCCTTGAGCCACCCTGTACGTATTAATTATTTGTTTAAAATGCGGAATATTAATTCCAGGATTATTGTGTTCTCGTCACAATCGCTCGTAGCGTTCCTGTGCAGCACAGGAACCAACTCATTATCCAAACTTTCCATGTAAATAGGAGGCAACTTCATGGCGTTGCTACCAGCGCTATACGCCACCTAAAACTCCCCCATACCAACAAAACAACCACAAAAAACCCCAATACTCACGAAATAAGCGTTAAGATTGGCCCGAATCCCAATTTTATAAAAACTATTACTAACTAACAAGTCCAAGTATTTAACAAGAGCCGTACACGTGGCTTTCGCTATAGTCTCCGAGACCTTGGAAATATCTATAGGGTCCTGGTTGCGACTCGCCTCACCCTCATTCTTCAAAAAAAGCGACTATAGCATCATTACCCCACCGCCGATTTACTACCTGTACAATAAAAACCTCCGTCCACCGGATTAAGCGACCCCCATTTACGTAGTCCTTCCCGTTATGCACCCTAATCGACGGAATCCCTTCCATCGGCTTATTATCAATGGGCGAAAAAACGCTACAAAAAATCATCAAACCTTAAAAAACCAAACCATAAACACTACTTAATGTTGAAATTGACGTCCGGCTCGCCCCAGATCACGTTCACGGTTTCATCCGACGCCGCGTTGATGCAGCCGCACTGTATCGTGTGATTTTTCATATTCCTCAGACTGTCCCTGATCTGAGTCATGTGCTCCGGGGGGATCTGTATCATGAGCCCGTCTTCCACTATAGACGACTTCGCCGTCAAGCCACTCGAGGACTTAAGAGCGCCATTAAAAACGATGAAACTAGCCCCGGTGACTGAAATCAAACCAAGATCGGTTTACCCGCGCCTGCTTGAAAGTGACTGCTCACCCTTCCTGGGTTTGTTGTGTATGTTAATAGCGTGCGTGCTGTACGCGTTTTCGTTACTTTGAGTATCCTGGATGCACACTAGGTGGGAGTCCGCCAAGTTGCTGAAATTTCCGGCGAAAGCCAAAATGTGGTCGCTCGAGTTGTTCATCGATTTCATAACCTGGTCGTAGCGATTTATCGGTATCGTCACCGTGGTGTTTTTGTCCTCCATGTGGATGGTTAAGCCCCGGATTTGCGGCAGCGTGTAGGAGAAATTCCGGAAATCCTTTGTTTGGTTCAAAAAATTAAACAAAATTTGCGAAAATGTGGGTTCTTACGGCTAGGAGGTTGATGATGGTGTGGCCGATTTCCACGAACACGCTGTCCCGGTACCGGTTGGAAATTATGGGGCTCGGGTAGTACCTATACTCGGCCCCCAGTCTTAAAACTAGGCGCAATGGAAAGAGTTTCGCCCATGGGGTTTCCCATCTGGGTTGAATTTCGTTAACGTGAAATTTATATGAAAATCAAAACCCACCTGTGTATCAAAACTCCAATCAAGTACGGTTCTTGCGGCTTAATAACGTTCTGCAAGCACTGGAATGTCGGTCGAATATAAACAAAACCTGCGTGGTTCTTGGAACCCAGGAAGTTCGTCGTGTTGTGTAACGACAGACCCATTTCTTTGACGGAAGTACCTTTGACGGCTTCTAGGTAGATGTTGTTGATGTGGAGGAAAACGTCTTTGGGGACGGTTTTTTCGTCGTCTAGGAGTTCTAAAAGGATGACGATTTCGTCCTGGCCTACGTTTATCAGACCTTCAGTGGAGAAGCACCAAGCGATTTTGTTTATACAACAGTCCACTGAAAACGACTTCGTGAAAAAGTGTCTGAATGAATTGGATACGTACTGTTGATGACTTTGACGTGTACGAGCAAATTCGGCTGCAGTGCGAAGATTAGCGCTTCGTTTTTTAACATTTCGACGACGTTGGGGCCGTTTGAACACTCCAAGTATGACACATCTATATTACAAGCAAAAATAAAATATGTTGGGTTACAAGATGGTGGTCCACCTCACCTGTCTTATTGATGGTAACCGTCGGCGGCAGATCTTCCCCCTTTGGAATAAAGCTCTTGGTATCTCCATCCATCACCGGAAAACTCCTGTCGCTCACCTTCACTCCCTCCTCCCTCTTGCTCCCACCACTATAGCTAAAATCGTTATCCAAATTCGTCAAATCACTCCCCGGTCGTATCCCGTCACAAAACATAACACTCTTGTTAGTCCTCGCTTTGTTAGACCCTTTCCTTTTCAAAACACCCACCGGTACCATAACGGCTGGTGGATTTTGGTTGGTACCGCTGACTTGCTGGTGTGGCGGTACCGTCGAGCAGTACTCCAACGGGTTGTTCGGGTTCGGCTGGGACATCCTAGGGGAGTTGGACTCGCTCCCGGAGCTACTAGTGGCCTCCTTGGCCAGGATATCGTAGCACTTGTTGCAAACCCGTGCCACGTCCTCCAGGTACTCCAGACGGTACTTGAGGTTGCAACACTTCGAACACAACACGTAGCCGCAAGCTCGACAGTGGTGGCGGCGCTTGATCACCGTAAACTTCTGCTCACAGTGGAGGCAGCTGGTGGCCTCCGCGTCAGGAATCCACAAGGGGGCTTGCTTACCCAACCAAGAATCTGATAAAAGTTAGCATAGTTCTTGTAGGAGACTAGTGGACTTACTGTTTGTGGTAGTAGCAGACTGCTCGGGTGGCGGCGGCGGCGGTGGCGGCGGTTCACTTGATTCGCCGCCGCCGTTAACCGCCTCCACTGGATTACCCCCTGCTTCATTCGTCTCGCCGTTTTCTTCACTTTTAGCTTCTTCTTTCGCTTCAACAGTGTCTTCATTCTTACTGTCACCAGCGCCATCTTCGTTTTGATTCTCGTCGTTGACAGTATCGGTGGAGGGGGTACACGACGAGTTAGTTTCAGTAGAAATGTCTGAAAAAGTAGGCGACGCTGAAGTGGAACACTCAGTATCACTATTCTGCTTCTCTTGAGGCAATTCTTTGTTAATATAAACGTTATTGTACGGAGTGGAACCCGGTTCGCCTAAAACTTCACATTATCTAGGGGAATTCGCTTTGTCACTAGTACCAACCTACTAAATCAATGACACTTTTAGTGGAGTCATCGCCTTCTTGACTGGGTAGCGCGAGGTTGTTAGGCCTTGGATTTGAAATGGTTTCATCCTCCTCTACTTCTACTTTTGGTTCTTCTATTGGTTTTTCTTCGACTACTACGTCTTCGACGTTTTGCGTCTCACAGCCTTCGGTCACTTCTTCACTTGGTGCCTCATTCTTGTATTCTTCCTCTAATTCATCTAAATACCTATTCAATTCTGACTCATCTAGATCTAAATCATCATCAAAGCCAATTTTAATCACACTGTTGTCGTCTTCAGTCTTAACCACATCTTCTTCAGTTTTCACAATCTCAAGGACACTATTTTCAACTGGAGTTTCTTCAATTGAATCAGTCTTTTGTTTAATTGACTCTTCAGTTGTTTCAATCAAGGCAACGTGCTCAGATTCGGTCTCCGGTGATTTGTCGTCATCGCTGTCGTCACAGGACTCCGCTTCCGGTTCATGAATCTCCACCACTTCCGTATCTATACAAATTAAATCTTCTTCTTTAGGTGGAGTTACGGTTTCTTCATTACAACTATTGTCGGCTGTCTCAGGTGCTTCAGGTGGGTTATTGTCAACTTGCGCCTCCCCCGAGTAACTCGCTTCGGTTACAACGGGTTTAACTTCACACTTGGGAGAAATATCAGAGTTGAGGTACTCATTCAAACTATGAAATACGTTATTAATCGAGTGCTTCACGTTAGTGTTTTTGAAATTATTGTGTACGTATCCAGGCGGATTTTTCGCTGCGGCTTTAGCCTGTTCGAAGCCGTGCTGATCCGTCAACTCGCTGTATTCGAAATCGTTCAAGACTTGGTCCAAATCGACTGTGTATTTATCCATCTGAAAAATCAACCGACAGTGAAAACCATCCACGCCAATTCACCCCAAACCACCTTTAATTGATGCCCGAAAGTAAAATATCATCGCCCCCACATTTAAAACCAAGAATTAAAAATAAAATCGCCCTTTTTTGACGTTTATAACCACTTAAAAATATTTTTATCAGCTGACTCAATTTGACAGGAGGAGCGGTTGCCAGCGCGAAAATCCCCAACCCGCAGACTGGGTTAGTAGGAAAAATCGATAAATCGCAGACAAACAAAGAATAAAAGGTGCTAAATCGCGGAATTACGCACGGAAAATTCCTATTTCGGGAAAACGCGAGTGACAAGTGCGACTGTTGGCACCGCGAAAATCCCTAACTAGGTTAGTGGGAAAATGGGTGATGAAAACGTTCAAAATGGCCGAAGAAAATGACAGTTACCCCTTACACGAAGCTGTTTTTAATAACGATTTAAAATCCCTGTCACGGTTATTAAGGAAACACGATGTAGGGGCTAAGGACAAACACGGTGAGTCGCTTGATTCAAAGAAAACCGCATTTGGGTGGCAGTTTAATTTACAACGATCCGTTTACACTAAAGAGTGAGGTTATGTAACGAGACGTTATTTATATCGGGGGAGTTTTCATAAACAGTTGGTTTTTTGCAGGGAACACCGCCCTACATTTGGCTGTAATGTTAGGGCGGAAAGGTAATTATCATAGTAATTATCTGTAATGGCGTTTATCTTATCTCTGTTCATTAGAATGTGTACAGCTACTCTTGAAACACGATGCCCCTGTCAAGGTGAAAAATGGCTTAGGGTGGACGGTTCTGGCGGAGGCGGTGAGCTACGGGAACAGACCCACAAGTAAGCCCCACTTTGAACCGATTTCGCGTTAACGAAAATTTTCAGTTTCGTCGCTCGTGCGGAAGTTCCGGCAGCAATCCCGCGAGCAGATGGAGGAGCGCCGGCCGAACTTAGTCGAGGCTTTAAATAGGATTAACGACTTCTATATGGAGCTAAAGTGGGATTTTCAATCATGGGGTTAGTTCAAATCAGTTGAAATCATTTTTAGCGTCACGTTTGAACGATTTCAGTGCCCCTTGTCTCCCGCATCTTGCCCTCCGACATCTGCAAAATCTACAAAAGTGGCGCCAACATCCGCCTTGACACGACCTTAGTCGACTTCTCCGACATGCGGTGGGAGCGCGGTGATATTTCTTTTATTTTTAACGGCAACGCCGAACCTAACGAAAGTTTGACCGTCCTTGACAATATAATGAAAGTTTATCAGAGAGTTCGCTACGAAGAGAGCGAAATGGAGATCGAGGATGAAGTGGACTTGTTGATGTCCACGGATATTCTGGCAGCTCAGATCTCCACGAAGAGCATCTCGTTTGCGCGGGCGCAAAGCGGGTGGATATTTCGCGAAGACAAAAAAGAATTGGTGGCCGGGCAGTACGAAAGCGAGTTATACACAGTGAACGGGTTGATGTTGGAGAGTAGGAAACGGCGGGAGCACCTGTCTTCGGACGACTTACAGAAAAATAAGGCGATTTTGGAGAGTTTTACCAAAGGGGGGAATTTGCAAAATTTTGACCAGAATGGAGTAGTAAGTAATCTAGTGTGCTTGGTGACAGTTGTAGTTGTAGATGGCGCTGGTGTCAGTGTTACCAACGGCAAATAATTAAGTCGAAATTAAACGAAAATGATTTGCAGCCCGTCCGTAGAACGAGCTTAATTCCTCCCCCAGAGAAAAACGTGACGTGGCAGCAGTACATAAATGCAAACCTTAACGATTACCCGCGACTGGGGCGCGATCTGGTGTACAAAGAAACGACAAAAGCGTTCAAGGCCACGATTGCAATGGTAAAACTGTCTTGAAACATTTATTTTTGTTATCATTGTAAATTGCAGAGTTCCGATTTTCCGTTATCAGTGGAAATGTTACTTAACGTCCTCGAGGTCATCGCGCCCTTTAAACACTTCTCCAAACTGAGAGATTTCATCACTTTCAAGCTCCCCACCGGGTTTCCAGTGAAAGTAGAAATCCCGATCTTGCCCACCGTGACGGCGAAAATCACATTCCAGCAGTTTGAATTCCGGAATAACATACCAAAAGAACTGTTTGAGACTCCCAAGCACTATAAAGAGGACCCCACAAGGTTCGCGCACGATTTGTCAAACTAAACCGGTATTGTTTGCGTAGATTTCCAGATTTATGACGTCCTGAACTGTTCAACTCCTTCGAAATCACCTACACAAAAAAACCAGTGTTCCTTTTACCATATGATAGACGTCTCTTAGCCAAGGCGAAGTTTGTCGGTAAACTAAGAAAATCAAAGGATTCGATGGGGGGCAACAGTGGTCCTACGGTGTGCGTCGAAGTACCTATGTTATTCACACTAGGCAGCATCTACTCGACTAGTTGTCTAGTCTATTTGGAATAAAATTACTTTATTTTCACTGAAGCAGGGTATTTATTGTAATCTAAGTTACTCACTTTGGATTCGAGTTGTATTTGTCGCGGTGCTGCCGTCGTTTTTGTTGTTGTTAAATTGTTGTTATTTGTGTATTCATGTTGAGTGTTGAAAAATTATTGTGTTGCTGTCACAGTTACCGACATATCAAAAGGTCTCCAGTTTATGTTGAGTAGGTCAAATGTCAATTATATAAAAGCGCCATTTTGTGACATTCTTATACAAGTAGAGTATTTTGATTATCAGACGTATATACAAATCACTTAGCCTATTTATTTTATGCTTAACTAATCAGCGCGTTTTAGGTTAATTTATATATTTATTTTACTGATAGTATATTATTGTTTAATTTCTCAATAAAACATATAAACGACACTCGGTATACTACACCAGATCCACCCAGTGTATCGTGGACGACAACCACCAATAACAAGCGTCGCTGGAAGTCACGTGAATGCACACCCTATCGGATTGGTGATTTCTCCAACCAGAGGGCGCTCGTATCATACGTCACTCAAATGTCATTTCTCCACTTTTTTGTTTACAAAACACAAGTAATGGTTAACAAATTCTCGCAAAAATGTCTGAATTAGTGTCGAAATGCGTGCTCCGGGTGGAAGTGAACGACCCCAGTCCAGGTATTCAGCCCCAAACCTAACCCTACTTTTTTGTGACAATTTTTTCCAGAGACGGATGAAGCCTGTGGCGACACAACCAGCAAAACTTGTCGCAAATCGCACGATATTAGCGTGGAGACTTTCCCCAGCCGGTTGGAAAGCCCCCGGGAAGACTGGGGCTTGCTGCCTGTGACATCCCGAGAAACGACCCCCCTCACCGAAAAAGAACCCGAAGAAAGTAAATCAGAGATTGGTTTTTTCAGCGGAAACCCGTTCGTGGAAATCACTAAAGGAATCCTGCATTTATACAAAGAAGAGTAAATGCTGTATGACCACTCTAAATTAAAAACTAATTAAAACTTAGTGTTTTAAGCGACCGAAAGGAAGCCTTGACGTTGTGCTTATTGGGGGTCCCCACGTCTATGACTTGTCACGATTTATTGGCTTTTACAGCCCCCTGTCACGCCGACATTGCCCACATTAGAGTCCTCCGGGACTCCCTACCCAACCAATACATGGCACTTTTAACGTAAGACCGTCACTCATTTAACTCAATCACGTCGTTGTTTAGTTTCAGGACGCACGAATCAGCTATAGAGTTCTACGTGACGTTCAATGGGGGGCCGTATAATAGTCTCGAACCGGATAATCTCTGTCGGATTGTGTGGGTGTCACGGGTCGAGTGGGCCCACGACGGGACTCCGCCCCCGGGACACACCGAACTCCCGATTTGTCCCGTCTGTCTAGGTACAACTCCGTTTTCACTAACTCTATATTAACCCCAGTTTTCTAGAACGTATGGACGAATCAGTCGATGGGGTCCTCACGATTTTGTGCAACCACGCTTTCCACGCCAATTGTCTCGAGCAATGGGGCGACTCCACGTGCCCCGTTTGTCGCTGCGTGCAAAGCCCTGAGCAAGCCGCCAGCTCCGAATGTGAACAGTGTGGCAAAGTCGCTCAGTCCGTCGACGCTTTGTGGATTTGTTTGATTTGTGGACATGTAGGCTGCGGCAGGTATCAAGGGGGCCACGCGGCTTTACATTACCGCGAGTCGGGGCACTGCTACGCGCTTCAATTAGGGTCACACCGCGTGTGGGACTACAAAGGAGATAATTTCGTGCACAGGTTGCTGCAAAATAAGTCTGACGGGAAATTGGTGCCGTCGGAAGGGCCCCCTTCTGAGGCGGAGTGTGCACAGGAGAAGGTTGATTCGGTGCAGCTGGAATTCACGTACCTTTTGACGTCACAGTTGGAGGAGCAGAGGTTATACTTTGAGGATAAATTAGCTCAGTAAGTGCAGGTTTTCAGGTGAAAAGGGGGCTAAAAGGGGGTTTGCAGGCTCGAGAATTTGTACTACGTGGAGAATCAGGAGTTGAGGTCCGAAGTGGCGAGTTTGGGGGAGGTAAATGGGGAGTTGAAGGCGAAATTGGTGACGCTGAATAAGGAGAAGGTGGCTTTGGAAAAGAAATGTCATCAGCAGGGTGTCAAGTGAGTTGGGGGAAATAAGAGGGCGAAAATCCCCATTATCGTTTTAATTTTGAATCAATTAATTTTGTTACTTTGTACAGATTAACTGCTAGTTTGAATGAGTTGAGCGAGGAAAGACAGTTGGGGAAAGCGTTACGGAACAATCAGCAACAGTGGCAGACGAAGGTGGCCAAACTACAGGAAGAAAACGACTCTAAAGACAAAGAAATCGCGGAATTGAAGGAGCAAGTGCGCGATTTGATGTTCTTTATTGACGCGCAACAGGTGGGTGTGTAAAATTTTGAAAAATGAGTTAAGTTTGGTTTTTAAGGTTATCGAAAAGTCGGAAAATAGGGAAGAGATCGCTGAAGGCACGATCACAGTAGGCGCCGAGCCGGCGCGCCCCAAGTCCAAAAAAGGCAAAAAGAAGCGTTAATTACATTACTCTAAGATTAGTCAGTGATAAGATGATTAACTTCTCATTGTTTATTGTGATAAGATAAGACTCATTTAACACTTCAAAAAAAAAACACACAGTTGTATGTCGTGCAAATTCTACGATTTATTGGCTGTTTATTAAAGTAATTACGGAAAAAACCCTTTTCTTCAATTTCCACCCCACCTGGTATTTTTGGTGTCGCGATGTTGGTGACGACTCCCGTTTTGTTTACTAGTCAGTCATACCAACGGCGTCGAGGTCGTTAGTGGTGGTTAGGAAAATGACTCGTTGATGAAAATTCGGGAAAATGGGAAACCATCACGGGCACGGCTCCCACAAATCGGGAGAGTCCACACCAACGTCCCAAGGGTCCCACAGGAGCATTTCTAGATCCGTACCCAACACCGACGTGCAACCCGAACAACCAAGTCAGTTGTTCCCGGTGGAAAGATTAGCCAAGGTGGGTCGCAAACTCCCGTTTTCCGCTGCTTTCCCACGCGTAATAAACGTGCAATTACGCCGCAAAATTTTTATCATTCCTGGAAGTCATTATTGTTAGGTTGGCAACAAGCGCGCCATTTTTAATTCAATCGGGGTTTCAGATTTTAGCGGAGAAAGCGTCTCACGAAGACCATGTTCACGGAATCACGTTATCGGTGTTCACGGTGAGTCTATTTCATTGTTGTACACATAACCTCACTCGTATTTCAGAAATACCTTTTCCCCCGGTACCCCATTCTAGCGGACAAACTCTTCGCCTACTTCCACAAGTCGGCTAAGTGCAAGAACACCTACATTGACACACAAAGCTTCAAGCAACAAAGCGAAAAATACCTATCTGTGAGTGTTAGGTCGCTTCAAGTACGACTAATTATTGTTTTTATTTAGATTCTCGACGATGAGGTGGTTCGCGACACGTTTGTTAAAATGTTTTCTAGTGAAGGCGACAGCAGCGACGTGATCACCCCAGAGGGGCTGCGCTCGCTGCTCATGTGCGGCTATCACGTTAGTATGGACCATTATTCCGAAGGCCCCCAGATGTGTCTTTCCATCGGGAAAACTCTGAAGGCCGTTGTTGATAGTTGTTTTCATACGAAAAATCAACTGTCCGCACAGTTTGTGTCGCATTGGCTTGCCGCTAATTGTCCGAGGCTTTTGTTGCCGTTGCATCGCTACATTATACATTCCTTAGCCACTTCGTATCGCACGATCGAAGATTACGAGTCTACTCCGGCTGCAGGTAAGTGGGGCTGCGTCGAGACAAATTGAAAGAAAGAGTTTTATGGGGGTTTCTGTCCAGGTCTTTCTAAAGATGCGAAAGATGAAGTGGAAGAAGGTAAAATGTTGTTAGTAGCTGTGTGTTAATTAAGTAAGTCATGATAAATGTTTGGATCAACACTGATAGCAGAAATTTTTTGAATTAATTACGCGCGATTTTATAATAAGTGAAATCTATAAACGAGCTTATGTTATTACTTCGGTTGGCAACAGTTTTTTTGTTGCTTGAAACTAACTCCAAAAATGCTTCAGTGTGACTCCGGCTTTTGTAGGTTTGGAGCTTGCCACGCCCGTCCTGGAGCACCCGCCCCCTTTCGGTCAGAAGCACCCCCACCTACTCCAGATGAGCATGTCTTGGCTGCTAGCCGGCGCCCTCCCTCCTGTATATTCACGCCCCCAGAAAGCCCACTCCCCTAGCAACAGCGGCGTCGGTAAAACAACAACACTGATTTATGCTCCGCCCCTAACCCGAATTTGTAGGCTTGTCAAGCACCGCCTTCCTCGCTAAACTCCTCTGCTCCGTGCCTTCTCATTGGGTGGTCTTGTACGACTCGAACGACAACGGTCTCGGTGCCAACCGATTCCTACACCACGTCTTATCTTACAAAGGTCCTACGTTGTGCCTTTTGCTTGCCGAAAACGGTCAAATATTCTGCATAGCGTCACCGAACGAATGGAAGGAATCTAACCATTATTGGGGCGGCGAAGACGCCGCCGTTATTCAACTATCCCCCAAATTTTTGTTACTAGAAAAGGGTTCGAAGATGTTGTATTTGAACACGACGGTGAGGGGGTACCCATATGGGTTGCGAGCTGGTACAGACCCCAGAGCTCCCATCATTATCGTGGATGGCGGTTTTGAAAAGGTAAATAGTTGAATTAATTACGCAGCAATTTTCTAATTTTTTCTAGATGGAGTTTAAGAAAATTCCGTATAATCTCATACGGATCGAAGTGTGGGGTTGTGGCGACCCCGTCAGTCGCGAAACTCAACTAGAAATAAAGAAGTGGGAGGTGAAAGAGGCGGAGCGACAGCGCTTTGTCAAATTGAGCGCCGCTGATTGGCTGGACCACCCAGATAGGTATTTGTTGGAGCTCGCCGGTAGGCCTCAATACCACCAAAGCCAAAATCAAAATCAATAAATAATTAAGTACTCAGGGCTAATTTTAGAGTAATAGTACTGACGTTAGTCACTGATGTATTTATTCAGAAGTCTTAAGAATTTAAAGTGCCCTCATTTGTTAAATTATTGACTTAGGTATATCGACACGGCTTTAACTATTGTCATGGTATTAAATACAGTAAACCCTCTTTAACAAAAACAACTTATTTAAGCTAAGTTTTCTTCGTAATCTATTTCTAAGAATACATATATACATATAAAATATAATGAAACAATTGTCCTAAGTAGATTGTTTGGGACTTTGATCCCACTTCGTAATAACGAAGTGTTTGTCTTACCCGAGTTCGGAGTAACGAGGGTTTACTGTACTTAAATGGTTCTACTTAAACTTGTACTCTTTAAGATACTTAATTTATGTATTCTATGATATTGATAGGGCGTGTTCGTCATGTTATAAATTAAAATCCGACATATTTTTATAAAGATGTTTAAAGGAGGCGTGTCATTGTATAACACCTCCCACTTCCGTTCACCAAGTGTCAACAGTGTCAACGTAACAATTGAATTTGTATTACCGAAAGTGCAACCATAGATTAATATAGATGCGACATACAGGCTGATTTTGCAAAACCACCCTTATTGACATTTGAGTCCTCAAGCGCCAAATTTAAATAGTCGATGCCAATAAAAAAACTTGTTTCACTACAACTCGTCGTCTGAGAACTTGTTTGATCTACAGACCAGAGCGCGCTCAGGCCATTGTCGACTCTAAGCGTTCAGAAGCGATTTGGTTGGTTTGGACCATAATTTCTGCGGGAAATAGTTCGGTGGGTTTTTATAACGACTAAGCGAATATTTTTGGTACATATTTAGATGATTTTACATATTTTGTTTAACTAAGAATTAATTCTTTATTTGTGTTTTATACTAGCAAAACGTCTTAAACTAAGAATATTGTTGAAATCGTGGTAACGCAATGGATTTTTTCGGGAAAATGTTTTAGAAACACTGGTCTATTTTGTATGAATTTTTAAATGTTTTTAGTGACAATTTTTGTATGATATTAACAGTGAGAAAAAAAAAATGAAAAATTAAAATAATCGAAAAATCGAGAAATCTAATAATAGAAAAATCGAAACCTTAAAAAATCGTAAAACCGAAACATTGAAAAATCGAAAAATGAAATATCAGAAAATCGAAAAAATGTAAAATTCAAAAATCTAAAATTTAAAAACCGAATAACGAAAAATCAAAAGATCAAGAAATCGTGGAGTCGAAAAGTCGAACAATTGAGAAGCCGAAATAGGCCAAAATCGAAAAGTTAAAAATTGAACAATTTTTAAATTGAGAAATTGACAATCAAAATATCGAAAAATCCGAATCTCGATAAATCTTGAAATCAAAAAACTTAAAAATTCGAAAAATTGAAAGATTGAGAGATTGAAAGATCAAAAAAACGAGAAATCGAAAAGTGATGAAAAATCAAAAAACGAAAAAATGGAAAACTGGAAAAACTGAGAAACCGAAATAGGCCAAAATAAAAATTTGAAAAATTGATAAATCTAAAACCTGAACAATCAAATCTCGATCAATCGGGAATGAAAAATTAACAAATCGAAAAATTGAAAAACAGAACATCTAAAACCAGGAAGTCGAAAAATCGAAAGATATAAGAAATATTGAAAAATTAAAATATCAGAAGATTGAAAAATCTAAAATTTAAAAATCCAAAAATTGAAAAATCGGAAAAGTAAAAAGGTACACACATCGAAAAATCCAGAAGTCAAAAATAGAAAAGCCGAAGAATTGAAATATTGAAAAATCAAAAAATTAAAGAATTGAAGAACAGGAAAATCGAAACACTCGAAGGTCAAGAAATGGGAAAATCAAAACATCGATTAATTGAAAAATAGAAAAATTGCGAGTTTATAAAAGTCAAATTTGAAAAATTAAAAAATCGAAAATTTGACAGAATGACAATTGAAAAACAAAATCCAAAACCGGGAAGTCGAAAAATCGATTGATTAAGAAATCAAAACATTAGAAAAATTCGAAAACTTGAAAAACTGAAATATCGAAGAACTGAAATGAAAAATCGATAAATCTAAAATTTTAAATATTGAAAAATTAAAATATCAAAAAACTGAAAAATCTAAAATTTAAAAATCGAAAAATTGAAAAAACGACAATTGAAAAACAAAATCAAAAACCGGGAAATCAAAAAATCGAAAGATTAAGAAATCGAAACATTTTGAAAATTGAAATATGGAAGAGCTGAAATGAAAAATCGAGAAATCGAAAAATCTAAAATTTTAAATATTGAAAAATTAAAATACCAAAAAATTGAGAAATCTAAAATTTGAAAATCAAAAAAGTAAAAAATCGACACATCGAAAAATCCAGAAGTCAAAAATGGAAAAGTCAAAGAACAGAAATATTGAAAAATCCCAAAACTGAAATATCGAAAAATTGAAAAATCGAAAAATCAAAAAAGTGAAGTCGAAAAATAGCAACCTTAAAAAATCGAAAAATTGAAAAATCAAAAAACTGAAAAATCAATAAATTAAAGAATTGAAGAACAGGAATATCGAAAGTCAAGAAATGGGAACATCAAAACCTCGATTAATTGAAAAATCGAAAAATTGAGAGTTTATAAAAGTCAAATTTGAAAAATTAAAAAATCGAAAATTTGACAAAATGACAATTGAAAAACAAAAAATCTAAAACCGTGAAGTCGAAAAATCAAAAGATTAAGAAATCAAAACATTTGAAAAATTCGAAAACTTGAAAAATTGAAATATCGAGAACTGAAATGAAAAATCGAGAAATCGAAAGATTGAAAAATCGAAACAGTAAAAAAATCAACACATCGAAAACTCCAGGAGTCAAAAATCGAAAAGTCGAAGAATCGAAATATTGAAAAATCCCAAAACTGAAAAATGAAAGAAAAACTGAAAAATGGAAAACCTGAAAAATCTGGGAACTGAAATATCCAAAAAACTGAGAACCTAAAAAGTCGAAAAATTCAGCAATAGAGAAATCCAAAAAGTGAAGTGGAAAAATTGAAACCTTAAAAAAAATTTTTTAAAATCAAAAACCTGAAAAATCGAAAAATTAAAGAATTGAAGAACAGGGATATCGAAACCCTCGAAAGTCAAGAAATGGGAAAATCAAAACATCGATTAATTGAAAAATCGAAAAATTGACAGTTTATAAATGTTAAATTTGAAAAATTGAAAAATCGAAAATTTGAAAAAACGACAAATATAGAAGAACTAAAAACTCGAGAAATCGAAAAACTTAAAATTTTAAAAATTGAAAACTTAAAATATCGAAAAGTTGAAAGATTGTGAAAACCGAAAGTTCAAAAAACGAAAAATTGAAGAATGTAAAAACTGAGAAAACTCACAAAATTGAACGAAATAAAAGTTGCAAACCTAAAGAATCGAAAAATTGAAACATCTGGAGTCTGAAAAATCGAAAAATTGAGAAACTGAAAAACTGAAAAATCGAAACCTTCACAAGTCGAAAATGGGAAAACCACACTGAAAAATAAAAATCGGGAACATGAAAAATTGTGGAAACGAAAAATTGAGAAACTGAAAATTCGAAAAACTGAAGAAACGAAAAATTGAAAAATCGAAAGAAACAACAAAAAATAAAGGAATTGAAAATATGAAAATTTGTGACATAAAATCGAGAAAATGAAAATTTAAAAAATCGGGAAAATGAAAAATAAAAATCGAGAACTTGAAAAATTGAGGAAACGAAAAATTGAAAATGACAAAAATTAAAATCTGAGAATGTGAAAAATCCAAAAATGAGAAACTGTAATATCGAAAAATTGGAAATCGAAAAATTGAAAAATTTAGAAGTCAAGAAACTGTAAAATTGAAAAATAAAAAATAAAAAAACAAAAGTTTATGATGAAAACTTGAAGAATGTCAAATGTGAAAATCAAACATGAAAATTTGAAGAAACGAAAATTTGAAAAATCGAAAGATTAAAAATTGAAAAACTTAAAATTCGAAAAAGTGAAAAATAAAAAAAAAGAAATATGTATTGTAAAATCAAAATATTGAAAATTAAAGAAACTGAAAAATTGGAAGACTGGAAATCCAAAAACTGCAAATTGAAAAATTTTAAACGTGGAAAATCATGGAATTGAAAAATCTGGAGCCTGAAAAATCGAAAAATTGAGGAACTGAAAAACTGAAAAATCGAAACCTTCGCAAGTCGAAAATGGGAAAACCAAAAAATGGATTAATTGAGGAATAGGAAAACTGGAAATTCAGAAACGTCAAAACTTGAAAATTTAAACAAATTGGAAAATTGAAAAATCGGAAAATTCAAAAATCGAAAAGCCGAAAAGTAAAAAAACGAAAAACCGATAAATTGAAACATCGAAAAATTCAAAAACTGAGACAATTAAAACATCGAAACATCCGAATCTCGATGAATCGAGTTCTCAAAAAATTGAAAACTCGAAAAATTCACAAATCGAAATATATATGTGTAAAACAGTCGAAAATTGAAAACTCCAAAGTTTAAAAAACGAAAAACTAGAAAATTGAAGAACTGAAAAATCGGAACTGCGAATTCGAGAAACGGTAAAATAAAAACATATACATATATATTAATCGAAAAATGGGAAAACTGAAAACTTAGCAACGTCAAAATTTGAAAAATTGTAAAATAGAAATACTGAAGAACTGGAAAATGAAAAAATCCAGAAATCGAAAAATCTAAAATTTAAAACATTGAACAATTGAAAAATGGAGAAATCCAAACATCAAAGAATCAAAAAAGATGAATTCGAAAATTTAAAACTTTAAAATCGAAAAACTGAAAAATCGAAACATCGAAAAATTAGAAAATCGAAAAAACCGAGAAATCCAAAAATCGAAACATCGAGAATTAAAAAAAAATTGAGAAATTCAGCAATCAAAAAATCCAATCATTTGAATTCGATAAATCGAGAAATAAAAAAATTAAGAAGTCGAAGTATAAAACTGTCGAAAATTTGAGAAATCTAAAGTTTAACGAAAAATTGAAAATCCAAAAAGTAACAAAAGGATGGAAACCCAAAAACTGCAAACTGAAAAATTTAAAAATTGGCAAATCGACGAATTGGAATCGATTGGCCTGAAAATTTGAAAAATTGAATGAACGAAAAATTGGAAAATCAAAAGAAACAACAAAAATTAAGGAAATGAAAAAACAAAAATTGTGATATAAAATCGAGAAAATGAAAAATAAAAAATCAGGAAAACGCAAAATAAAAATCGGGGAATTGAAAAATTGAGGGGACGGAAAATTGAAAAATGGCACAATTAAAAATCGAGAATGTGAAGTAATGGAAAAATGAGAAATTGTAAATTTGGAAGTCGACAAATTGTAAAATTGAAAAATCAAAAATAAAAAAACGAAAAAGTGTATAATAAAAACTCAAAAAATGTACAAAGTGAAAATCAAACTTGAAAATTTGAAGAAAAATTTCTAAAAACCTGAAGATTTGAAAAATTTAATAAAGGAAAAATTGTAAAATCGAAAGAAACAACAAAAAATAAAGGAAATCAAAAAAAGGAAAATTGTGATATAAAATCGAAAAATGAAAATCTGTAATATTGAAAAATTGCCAAATTGAAAAACTGATGCAAACCGAAAAATTGAAAATTTTGGAAGTCGAGAAATTGTAAAATTGAAAAATCAAAAATAAAAAACGAAAAATTACAAAATGAAAACTTGAAAAACTTAAGAATCGAAAAAGTGAAAAATCAAAAAACAAGAAATACTCCTATGTATTATGAAATTAAAATTAAAGAAATTGGAAAATCGGAAGACTAGAAATCTGAAAACTGCAAAGTGAAAAATTGAACAAGTGAAAAATTGTAAAATCGAAAAAAAACACAGAACATAAAAGAAATGAAAAAACGGCAATTGTGATATAAATCGAGAAAATAAAAATTACAAATTCGCCACACTGAAAAATTTGGAAGTCAAGAAACTGTAAAATTGAAAAATCAAAAATAAAAAAACAAAAAAGTTTATGATGAAAACTTGAAAAATGTCAAAAGTGAAAAAGAGCGAGAAAAGTGCTGTCTAAATAACTTTAGACCAATTTTTATAATTCAACAATTTATATTGAGTATCAAAAATAAAACACCGACAGGTTTCGAATAATTTTATGATACCGCCTTAAACTTGTAACTATGACGCTTCTGTATGTTCTCTGGTGCAACCTTAGCCACACGTAAAGTACACATAACCTCAATAACAACTAATTAGTACACCAGGTTTAATTTAGTGCGAAAGGTGCGAAAATGTCGTTATATCGACAAACACTCGCACTTACGTCGCGTTTACTCCTTAAACAAGCCCTCAAAACACGAATTACGGGTGGTAAGTACACAAATTGCGTTGTACATAACCTCACTTATCGCACTTTTCTAGAAACGCGGAATATAAAAAGGTGGGTGGCCCCCACGCTTAACGAGCTTTATACGCGGCGTCTGAAAGTCGGTCCGGAGCCCCCGCAGCCCCGTTCGACGTTCCTAGAGTGGAACTATGAAGCCGAAGTTTTCGCTTTTGGTAAACGTCTGGGGGAAGATTTTGACAAAAATATTCTAAAGCAGGCGCTCACCCATCGCTCGTTTGTGATCGCTGAAGAAGAGAAAGCCAAACAAAAAGGGGTACAGTTTGAGGAGCTTGCGAGTAATAGAAGTTTGATTAAAGAAAGCGACAAAATTGTCTCTGACTTTTTGAAAGAAGAGTTTAAAGAGCACCCCGATGACGTAGCAGAGGCGCTGCACGATTATCTCACCAGCGTTGATATGTTGGCCCACGTGGCGTCACATATGGGGCTCAGAGATATAATTTTAACATCTGTGAGTCCTCGTGGTTGTAAAAATTTTTGTCTGGAGTGACTTTTTCAGGAATTTCCTGTTGAAAATTCGACACTTGCGGACACGTTTAAGGCCGTCGTGGCAGCTTTGAAGCAATCCCAGGACTTAGCAAGAGCGCAAATTTTCGTCAAAGACTTCCTAATAAGTCAACTAAACGGAAAAGACATTTTTGACATTTGGAACCCCGAGAAACCCTTGGAATATTTAACAAACTTGCTTAGGCAGAGAGGTATTAACGAGTTTGAGCCCCGATTGTGCAACCAATCAGCCGCGAACACGATCCTAGCGAACTACCAAGTCGGTTTGTATAATAATAAAAAACTTCTAGGGATTGGGTGGGGCGAAAGTATACAAATAGCGAAAGAAACGGCGGCTTTGGACGCCATTCAAAGGCTCCATTATCAAAAATAGGTTAAGTTTTAGTATAAAATAAATAAAATTGAACAATGGTCAAGATTGGGTGTCCACTATAAGAGTACCATTCCCGTCTTTAATCCTGATGCGTCCGTTTGCGTATTTAGTTTCTTGGGTACCATCTGGGTAGAGGATTTTGACAGTACCATCGGGGTATTCGCGTCTCTGCAATTCATGTTTAAGACTAAATTGTGACAAGTTTGACTTTACCTTGAACTCTTTGGTTTCGATTTCTTTTTGTCCGTTGGGTAAAAGTAGGGTTTTGTCGCCGCTGGTGTTGATTTTTACAACTGACCCATCGGTGTATTTCGTTTCTTGGGTACCATCTCGAAATGTCGTTTGAGTGACGCCATCTGGTAGAGTAATTTCGGACTTACCGTCGGGGTACCGTTTTTCCAGGATTCCTCTGGATTAAGAAATAATTTTATTTCCACAGTTCGAACGTTACTTACTCGGGAAATTCCACCATTTCCACACCGTCGGGATAAGTAGTTTGACAGATCCCTTTTCCGGCGAAAAAATATTTCACAGTCCCATCAAGCAAATTAGTTTCTTGTTTATCCCCATTGAAATACTGGACAGTAATGAAGTTACCATCAGGCGAAACCGTTTTTAAATTCCCATTAGAGTACTTTATTTGTTTGCTCCCGTCGTCCAAAGTGTGTTGACTTTTCCCTGAAACTATTAACGTATTTGGTTGGTAGCACTGACAAGTCACGCCTGCAATCAAACGCGATTGGTTGAAAATTGAATTACCCGCCGCTTTTGACACGTCCCGAGTCACTTGATTCCTGAACGTGTTTTCGTACTGCATTTCCAACTCCCGATTCGTTTCCATTTCAAAAAACGAGTCTTCAGTGTCCAACGAGTTGTTCTTTGACGCAATTTCCGTTTTTTTCGAAGTTTTCGCCAACTTCGAGATGTTTTTGTTAATTTCGTGCAAAATTTTCGAATCCGAGGACTTTCTAGTCATTTTCTGACTCGCTGAAAGCTTCGCGTTTTCTTTGGTTAACTTCTCGACTTCGTCTTTCAAGTTCGCGTTTTCTTTCTCCAGTTGTTTGATTTGGTTTCGCAGGCGCGCTTGCGTCATCCCGTTCTTGGACTCTTTGAGTTTGAGGGTTTCAGTCAAGTCGGCCACTTCCTGCTTCAAGTTGCTTATTTCTTGTCGCTCTTTTTTGTTGGGGCGGTTTTGGGACTCCTTCATGTAGCTAAAAACGGGTTTTATTGATTTTCAAAGGTTCGACTGTGACTCACGTTTGGAAAACTTGTTTCTCTTTTAGGAGTTTCTTTTTTTCGGCTTCGAGTTCGTAAACGAGGTCTTGTTTTTCGTCTTCGAAGTCGCGCTTCTTTTTTAGGAAGTCTTTTTCTCGTTGCTCGAGCTGTTTTTTGATTTCGCAGATTGTGTTTTTGTCTTGGATGACTTCGCGGATTTTGGTTTCGTAGTCGGTGATGGTTTTTTGGAGCTTGTCGCCGCATATTGCACAATTTTGGTTGTCGGTACCGACGCCGATGTCGCACTTGGAGGTTCTTAGGGTTGCTTCTAGGTCTGTGGAGGAGATGGAGGTGTTGTCGCTTGAGGGTTCAATTGAGGACCATTTTTCGTCGTCAGAGGCGTCAATTATGGCTGCAACTTTAACTTTAGTAATTATTTTTAAAAATTTGTGAGTTCTAACATGGTACTTGGGGTTTGGCGCTTTCCGTAAGCCCCTTCAAGCGCAGCAAAATTTCAGCAATGTCCCGCTTGTCGAGGGTTGTTTCAATAATTTCGTCTTCACTCTGAGTGTCCTGGGTTTCCCAATGTACCCTCTTTTCTTCCGGAATAGTGGCCTGAATCTTAGCTTGAATTTTACTAGGGGTGCTTGATAAAATCCGAACCACACTTGAATTCGTTGAACAGAAACTACTATCTTCCGCTCGTTGTTCCAAGGCTTCAAAAATCAACAATTCTTTCTCTAGTTGTTTTTCATACAACGTTTGGTCACTGGGTCCCTCAGATCTACAACAATTTCCACATTAACACTAAAATTACATTAAAAAAATTGATAATTTCATACTTATTCAACTGCGAGTTAATCTTCTTCACGTGTTCACTACTTTCATCAGCTCTAGTCCACGTCGCTTTCGGCTTAATCGCCAAATCCGGGGCCCTCAGAGGCGTCACACTTGTCGCCACTTTCTTGCTCGCCTTGACCGGTTTGACTGTCTTTTGCGGCCGCGGCTTTATTTTAAACCTCTCCAGTCCGGCCCCCTTTTTCAAAAAGGGTCGCTTTATTGCGGGTATTGCCTTCTCAGGGCCCGGATCCTGGGCTAGTTTTTCTTCCAACAGCTCGTTGAAGGTCTTACTGGGTGAAATTACCTGCGATTCCACGTTTACGGGGGTCTTTAGTGACTGGTTTAGCGTCGAGTCAAAGTCTGAGAGGCCTTCTATGGTTTGGTAGTCCGAAGCCGTGCTGGTGTCGATTAAGTTCTTTGTTTTTTTGAGGAGTTCGTCTTGGCTTTCTTGCCACAGTTTTAGCTGTTTGAGGCGCTGGAGGATGTCGGAGGGCGATAGCGACATTTTTTGTGGGGTTTTTCATGAGTTTGGCACTTGGGGTTTGAGGTTAGGTTCGTTGGAGGTTTGAATTTGATTGAAGTGTAAACAAACAGGGGTGCCAATGTGAGCGGTGGCAACGTGAAAGAAGAAGAATGGTAAGTTACTAAAGTCAATTACTTTTTGCAATTATGTATTAAAAAAACTCAAAACAAGATTTGAAATATCTTAGTTAGATATCAGAAGAACGCTCAAATGGCGTTTGAAATATCATAGCTTCATAATGTAAAAAATAACGTAGTTTTTCGCGTTTATTACAATTTCTAGACAAATAAAACACATAAGTATTTCTTAATCAACAGTTTTCAATATAATTTGAATATACATAAGTTGAAGATCTACAAGAAAATGTGTTTAGTGAAATTTCGAAAATTTTGTTGAAATCATTGGTCGAAAATTGGGGTATTTTGCATATTTTTTAATGTTTCAAAAGACGATTCTGGAAAAACCATTGGAGTTATCGAAGAAATGAAAGCGGAAATGACTTCCGCGGCCCGAAATCTACAAGAAAATGTTTTATGTGAAATTTCGAAAATTTTATTGAAAATTGGTCGAAAATTGGGCCTTATTTGCTCATTTTTGAATATTTCAAAGTGTTGGACGTAAAGGCTTTGAAAACACCTTTTTTTCGCGGCGATTTTACAATTCCAAAAAAAATATATTAAAATTTGGATCGAAGCTGACAAACGCATCAAAAGGTCACCTACCTTGTTTTGTTCAGCCTCCTGGGTTGAGGGTTTGTAGACCGCATGCACAAAGGAACCACGTGTCTAAGTTTCGCGACAACAATTCGCGATTGACGTCACACAAGATGGCAACTGCGTTCACTTAACGCCCACCTTAGCGATGTTACCTCTCTGAGGGTTTCTCGATAACTCTGTTCGATAACAGCGCCAACCCCAAGTACCGGGCCCTTTTGCTCGGTACTATGGCGCCTCTAGTGGAAAGTGACCAAAATACACTTGTCAGCAATCCGCGGGATAACAAACAAAATCAAAACAAAATATTAAACAAACTTCGAACCGGAACATTCCGCCCACCAAAAGAAAATTAAACATTTTTTTTTTTTAACGTAGGTTCCAGCACAATATAAGATTAATTGACAATCTAAAAAACTAATGACTAAAACTAAATACAATATGAATGCAAACTATTGACGAGGAAGCGGGCACAGCTTCACTCGAGGACGTGTGATCATGCCGCAAGTGGTACGTACTTGTGCAACTCGCACTATACCGTCTTTTCCCGGGTGCAGCGCGACAATTCGGCCAAGTTGCCATTGCAACGGGGCCACCGAATCACCCTTGAATACGACCAGCGCACCTACCGACGGCAGGTTATTCGACGTGTTCCACTTATGCCAAACATCCTGGTGCAACCGTTGCACGAGCTGCCATCTACTTAGCCGATTTGACCGCATTGTCTCCAACGGTTCATCGGGATTATCCGCGGAGGCGGGACACAGGGGTCGCGAATTCAATACGGCTTCAAATTGCGCCAACACGGTACTAAATTCTTCGAAGGTTAGGGGTTGCTCGCCTACAACGCGCTTAAGATGGGATTTGAACGATTTGACGCCCGGCTCCCATAATCCTCCCATATGGGGGGCCGACGAGGGGTTAAAATGCCATTTGAGGGTGCAGTTACCGGCCGCTGCTTGCAATAACAAATACTGTAATATCCGGAATCTGACATGTAAATGTTTCCGATGAGCGGCCTCTATGATTAGTTCGGTTAGACTGTGCGAGCGCGGCAATAACAAGGGGTGCTTAGTTTCATAGAGGAGTTCCGTTTGGTGCAATCTTCCGGTAACGCGAATCAAACCGTCGTCTAGGAAGGGGGTCAATTCGTGGAATGGTTTTGAACACGTGCCATTCTTTTGCAATGAACGAATTTCATTGGCAAACACTTTACTTTGTACCATTCGCACAGGTATTAACAACGGATGATGCAATTCCCTTCTGTGTACTTCATGTTCCCTACCGGTACCAACTTCTAGGTCTACTTGTAGAGGCCACTCAGTACCTGTCAACCACATAGGATCCGCCCACCATAGCGGATGTGTGACACGCTCCTGTAAGAGTAACCCCCTCGAGGCGCAGTCGGCTGGGTTATCAGGGCCGCTTCCATGATTCCATGCCGAAGGTTCGAATATACCTTGTATGGGCGCGATTTGATTTACAACAAAAGTGGTCCAATGACCGGGCCTCGACTTAATTCCCGTTAGCGTTACTCTTGAGTCGGGCCACGCACACACCCTGTGTGTGTTCAACATACCCTTGAGGGTTTCCCGGGCAAATGACAATAGGTCGGCCGCAAAGAGGCGCGACTCAGGGACGAGAAAACGGCGCACTGCTGACTCGGAGGACCGACCTAATAAGGATGGTGTCGTGTCGGCGAAAGGTAATTGAACATTGTAACTACCCTGGATGTCACATGCGATCGCCGACGTGACTTTTTCCTCACACCAAGCGTCTTGCGGGGTCGCCATACTGCGTTGTGGGACTTGCTCAAGCCGCCCAAAGCGTTTTAACGCCGCGTCTAAAGAGTTGTCAATGGACGTACAAAAGGACCTAACCGCGGTTTGTTGTTTGCTACGCTTAGCACCCCCAATCAGTACCCACCCGAAAACAGTATTTAACGCGGACGGTTTCTCGAACCCACCTTTCCTGAAGCCGGATGTCACGATTTGTCCGTAAACATCAGCCCCCAACAAGACGTCCACTTGTTGTGGCTTACCGAATTCCGGGTCAGCCAATTCTAAATTACGTAGGTGACGAAATTGTCGCAACCGATCTTGTGACACTGCCCTTGTGGGGACGTCACCGCAAATTTGAGGCACAACAACCATTTCCGCTTTTAACGAAAAACTACGTACTAAATGCGACCTCACTTCGCATTTCACTACACCCGACGTACTGCTTGTCGACATTTGATTCAAGCCTTGAATAGGTACCACCGCGTTAGTTTGAGGAACCCCTAAAATCTTTGCACACCTCTCTGTGACAAAGGTGGCCTCGCTCGCAGTATCCAAAAGCGCCCTAAATGCGCGATATTTACCTCGCGAATCCACCAAAATTATTCGCGCGGTCGCCAACAGAGTGAAACTGTGGGTCGCGATCGCATTAGTCATTACTTTGACCCCGTCGTCGACCGATGGGCCCTCAAAGATCCCTGACGCCTCTTCCGGCTCGGCGCTAGGTTTGGGGATAAAATGTAACAACGTGTGATGTCTACAATCACAAACCAGGCAGTTTAATTTAGATGGGCATCTGCTAACCGAATGCACCCTCGACAAACAATTGTAACACAGATTTTTGTTACGCGCGAAAGTATGTCTATCCCGTGGTTCCATTTCTAAGAAAGCATCGCATTTCGTTAATGGGTGCTCATCCGAACAATTAAGACATTGTTCCTTGCTGATTGGTGATCGCGTGACAAACGATGACGTCACGGGACGCTTAGCAGGTACGGAAGATGCAGCTGTGGGTTTATGAAGGGCGGATGCGGAATTATGACCCATTGTCATAACGGAAGTTTCCAACGCGGTACAATGTTTAAGTAAAAATTCTTGGAGGTCATTGTAAGCAGGTACGGAATTTCCTACAATACTCAACTCAAATTTCTGTTTCCACGTGGTGTCCAGTTTTTGTAACATTAAATTTAATAAGGTGAAGTCCCACAAATCGACTTCATCGTACTGCTTCAACGCGGCCAAATTTTCCGAGAACACGTTTAACAAATTTCGCAACAAACTCGGCGAATCTCCATTCACTTTGGGTGCACTATAGATCGCTTGCCAATAATTTGTCAATAATACGCGCTTATTGTTATAACGCGCCACCAGCGCATCGAATGCGATAGCATAATTTGCCGCCGAAATCGGCAAATTTTTGATGACGGTAGACGCCTCGCGAGACAATGACGTCGACAAATATTGAAATTTTTCAATTGCGCTAAGATTTGGGTTATTGTGGATAAGCGACCGAAACAAATCATAAAATGTGGGCCAGTTTTTGATCTGACCGTCAAACGTCGGAATTTGAATTTTGGGCAATTTGACGTTGTTTGATGTTAAATTGCCCCTAGGTGCGGATGACTGCGCGGCCTCGCGATTTAATTCGGCTGCAACCGATTTAATCGAGTACTGCATATCGTCAAATCTTGATTGCACCTCGTATTGTTCGTCTAGCTGCTCAGGGGTGGTGCATAATTCGACAATTTGCAACTGTCGCTGCTCAAACTGGGCAACAATATGGTTTAAGTCCGCAGCTCGAATAAAAAACTCTCCTCGTACAGTTTCGTGGACTCTGGCTTGTTGCGATAGGTTCACTAAAACCTCCACGCGTTTGATCAAACTAGCGCGTCCATTACTTAGTGCGGCGACGGTAGCCATGATGTACGCTCGAATTTAAGTATTTCGATAATTTGAAAATCAAATGAAAATGCGTGCTAATCACGCTTAGCAAAACTACAACAAATTTGTGCTGGAATCTACAAATCTCTCGTAATTACCCTGGATCCGGCTCGAAGGACCATATGTTGGACGTAAAGGCTTTGAAAACACCTTTTTTTCGCGGCGATTTTACAATTCCAAAAAAAATATATTAAAATTTGGATCGAAGCTGACAAACGCATCAAAAGGTCACCTACCTTGTTTTGTTCAGCCTCCTGGGTTGAGGGTTTGTAGACCGCATGCACAAAGGAACCACGTGTCTAAGTTTCGCGACAACAATTCGCGATTGACGTCACACAAGATGGCAACTGCGTTCACTTAACGCCCACCTTAGCGATGTTACCTCTCTGAGGGTTTCTCGATAACTCTGTTCGATAACAGCGCCAACCCCAAGTACCGGGCCCTTTTGCTCGGTACTATGGCGCCTCTAGTGGAAAGTGACCAAAATACACTTGTCAGCAATCCGCGGGATAACAAACAAAATCAAAACAAAATATTAAACAAACTTCGAACCGGAACACAAAGGGCGATTCTGTAAAAACCATTGGATTTATCAAAGAAATTAAAGCGGGTATGCCTTCTGTGGCCCG